GTGAAAGCACGCACGTGATGGAGATTTACCGCTGATTACAGAACCGGCTTTACTGACAATATGCGTGTTAAACATCGCATGCGATTTATCGTGCAGCCCTAGTATATATGTATCTATGGTGTAGACAGCATCACTGATTATAATGAGTTCCATAGTATTTTTGCGCAATACAGAAATATCTGCTAAGTGTGCAACGTATCTTTGTCAACCTGGTAACCATGTGTACGCGCGGTCTCTTCACTGTGGATAAACGCGCTTGCTTTCTGAAAACACCGGTTTTACCCCACCTTTAACTAATGATTTTGGGACTCACAAAAATGTATATTGAAAAAAAAAAATACACTACTGTTTATAAGTTTGGGGTTGGTAAGATATTTAAATGTTTTTGAAAAGTCTCTTATGCTCACTAAGCCTGCATTTATTTGATGAAAAAATACAGCAAAATACATGCAATTTAAAATAGCTGTTTTCTATTTGAATATATTTTAAAATGAAATTTATTCCTGGGATTTTCAGCATCATTACTCCAGTCTACAGTGTCACATGATCCTGCAGAAATCATTCTAATATGCTGATTTGCTGCTCGAGAAACATGCATCATTATTATTAATGTTGAAAACAGTGCTGCTTAATACTTTTTGGAAACCGATACATTTTTCAGAATTCTTTGATAAATAGAAAGTTCAAAAGAACAGCATTAATCGGAAATATGTTTTATGTAACAGTGCAAAAGACTTTACTGTCACTTTTGGTGAAATAAATGCATTATGCTTAATAAACATATTAATTTTAATTTGTAAACAAAAGAAAAGTCTTACTGACCCCAAACTTTTGAACAGTATTGTATTAGCCAAAGTGTGTATCTTAGTGTAACAAATTTGAATCGAAACAGGACACGTCAGCTTTCCAAAAGTATTCAGCCCCCCAAACATGAAGAAAGCCATTTAGAAGGAAGTCAAGGACGTTTGTAGGAGAATGTTTTGCTGATTATCAGGCAACCACATACAATGACTGCATGAATGAATCTACTGATAATGCTCAGCCTAATGGCCCTCTTAAGAAACTGTATGTCTGAGATGAAATACATATGGGTTTCTTCAGCGGCAGAGCAAAAAGGTCTCAGGAAATACCAACCTGGCTTTTTTCATAAGGAAAACTGACTGACATTCCACCCAGCTTTGAGAAAGAGGACTGTAAGACGTACGCCTGCAGTGCAACTCCATATGAGACTCTGTTCACCATATGTGTGAGGTAAAAATAAAGGGGTTAGACAGCTATCACTGAGTGTGAACTTGACATCTATGTCTGCATATATCGGTCTGTGCCGTTTAATATGAAGCATGAATCTCCCCGACCCGGAAGAAAATACTTTTTCGAAATCCAGCGTTTGCTATTGTTTGTATTTAAGAAAAAGCACCAGCCGGCGCAAAGCTTTGTTTACACTTTTGCCGGATACTCCTACACGATTTGCCTGAGGGGGAAGGAAAATATTCAAAACTGGCAGGAAGGCGAAACATTTGTATGTAGTGGAGTCTTATGGTTTGAGGTTGTGTGCACAACACATTTTCTAAAGAAAGTAATGTATATGATGAACGTCCTGTCACTAAAATGTCCAGTTACTTCCATTAGAGTAAAATATAATTTGCAGCCTAGAACCATGAATCTGGCTCTTCAACCCTTCACCCTTCTCCTAAAGTAAACAAGTATTTTATTTACATGCATGAACCAGCAACACTTTGGTCAATATTCACTTCAATATAAAGGTTCTAAAAGGGAACTTTCACAGTGATGACATAGGAGAATTATTTTGGGTTTAGGAGAACATTTTAATGATCTAAAGAACCTTTTGTGAAACAGAAAGGTTCCATGGATGTTCTTCATTGAACTATTGATGCCAATTAAAGATCCTTTATTTTCAAGAGTGTAAGTTAAGCCATTCTGAGCAGTAAGTGTTAAGTTTTCACAAACGGTGTCTAGTAGCTGACTAAATATTGGGTTAAAAGTTGCTAATGATTTATTCAAACTGTGTTTGCCGTCTGACTGGATTTCCAACCCCCTTTCATGGGCCAGAATGAGCCCCCCTTCAGACACGAAGGTGGTATCTCCTCAGGGAGCTGCCCCATCTAATTATCAAATGACGACCGGCCTGTCGGCGGTAAGCCGCTGGGGTGAGACAATAGCAGCTGATTCTCTGGATTAGGTGACGGGGGTTGGAGAAGAACGGGAGGGGGGAATCCAGGAGGAAGAGACAGAGAGCATGCTCAATCCTGAGAGACAGGCTACTGGAGCACACATGTACCTTCCCTGTGAAGGATACACAGTCTCATGAGCTTCTGCTCTTTTTCAAACACCCGCATGTGAAGATATTTAACAAGCAGATGTTGGAGATTTGATAAAACGGATGTGAAGATTCACTTTTGGACCTTGTACAAAGGATGCACTAAGGAAACTCTGCTTTTGGGGTGAACTTTGACACCATGGCTGGATTTTACAGTTGCTTTGGGGACAAAAAGTAAGTTGGAGCATTTTGTTCATGTGAAAACTTAATTTAAAATGACTTCTAGTAGTTATAAAACACTTAACACTTGTCTTGTGCTTGAGGTTGCATTTTAGTGGCATGGTTGCATATAAAACTGCAAGCACTGATGAAAATGACTGTTTTGGTATGTACTCTCAGAAAAGAAAGGTTCAAACGCTGTCACTAGGGTAATGCTTTTTCAAATATAGTACAAATATGAACCTTTAATGTATTAAAATGCACCTTTAGGGGTAAATAAGGTACAAATGTGTACCTTTTGTAAGGGTACCATCCCAGTGACAGCTCTTGTACCTTTTTTCTGAGAGTGTGAGTACATACTTCACTTGATGTCTTTTGTACTGTAAGGTTTCTTTTGTGAATGCACTATAATAGCTTCTTAGATGAACTCTTTCAATTCGAGTCTCTTTAAAAGCTCTTCTATCTAATGGTCTCATGACATGTCCAACAAGACCCTACTCATCACCACTGGTTGGTATTCCAAGACCGCTGAGAGAACATGTTGTTTAACATTGGGTTTCGTCCAGATTCTTTGCAAGTTTAGAAAAGAGACTGTTTTGTTTATAATTTCTTTTCAGTGAATTTGCCATTTATTATTGCTTGTTCTCCTAGTCCAGCCCCCCAGAGACTAAATGAATGTACAATAAGAGAGTTTGGACTATTATTGAAACATAATGTTCCTTATTCAGGTATAAATGCAAAATTTGACTTTGCAAAGAGACTGAAAGCGTGGAAAAGGTTTGGACTGTAACCAGCTTCATCCTTACATACCTCCATTTTGCACACCATTTATGGTCCTTGCGCTCCTGAGAGAGTGCTGCTTTGTTTGTATCTACACAGTGTATCTATTTGGCAAGAAACTTGAGCCATCCCATGAAAAAAGAGTCCAAATATTAATGGTCTGAACCCTATTGGTTTTGACCTCTGAGCTTGTTGATGTTGAGCTCAAACTCTTCCTAGTTTCTCATCATCTTGTGCAGTTGATGAGGTTGTTGTTTTTAGCAGGCTTCTCTGTTGTCTTTTAAGACATGTATTCTCAAGGGAGTCTCAAGTCAGTGAGAGACTGTTTTATTAAAGTGTGAGCCAGTTAAATTTGCATATTGTGGAGAGTGGGGTAAGAAGCGTCAGTGCGTCAACTTTATTTGAAACTCTTTTCTAATCCTGAAATATAATGTCGTGTTTTAGCTTTCCCTCTCATTTTAAGAAAAGGTGGCAAGTGTCACCCCACTCGCTTTTAATCTGTAAAAATGTTTCTGCTGGGGTTTACTTATGGATTCTCTAATAATGAATCATCCGGTATCAGATAGCCAGAATGCTGTGCTCTTTCTCTGCTGGTTCAGCCACGGCTAAAAGAGTTTTGTACTTTGTGGTTAAAGTTCAGAAGAACCACAGAAGTACAGATGGTTTTGTAGTATGTCTGGATTTATGCAGCCCCTGCTAACTACTTTGATTTTTTTTTTTAAATCCATCAATCAATACAAGCAGCAAAGGGCTTCCAAACACAGCTCATTGAGCGCATGCGGTGATATTGCCTTAAATATCTGCCTGAATGGAAAGAAAAAATTTTTTTTTATAGTAAATTCAGGGCTTGATAAATGTTCTGTATCTGTAATTGTAGGGTTCTTTAAATACACAGCTGTGCAGTTTTATTCACAAAAAGCTCCCACATTTTGTGTAAGATGTCAGTGTCATACTTAAAGGGATAGTTCACCCAAAATTGAAAATTATAATTACTCACCCTCATATCGTTCCAAACCTGTAAGACCTTTGTTAATCTTCGGAACACAAATAAAGATATTTTTGATAAAATCCGAGAGTTCTCTGATGCAACTGAAATGTTCCCAGACCTAAAAATGTAGTAAGGATATTTATAAAATAGTGACATCAGTGTTTCAACCGTAATTTTACGAAGCTTTGAGAATACTTTTGTGTGCAAAGAAAACAAAATAACGACTTTATTCAACAATTCTTCTCCTACCTTCAACGGTACATTCATGTAATTAATTCATTAATATATTAATTTGTATAATTCCTTTAGCACTCTTTTAAAACCTCCCAGCTTTTCCGCCCTGTTGTCACACAAAACGAAACTACTCTGCGTGCTGACTTAAGACAGTATTTATTTATCGCGAGTTGTTCAAATCGCGGTAATCTAATACAGTTTTAATGATAATTAAAAGATGAAACGGTAATACTAACCGTGGGGAATTTTATCATGATTTATCGTCAAACCGGTAATCGTTACATCCCTAACCACAACGCGTGTTCTACGTCAGCAGCACCACGCGCATGCATTGTTTACGTGCAGAGGTAATCTCGATAATGGCGGAAAACGTGATTTGGAGGAGAAGAATTGTTAAATAAAGCCTTTTTTGTTTTCTTTGCACAAAAAAAAGTATTCTCTCAGCTTCGTAAAATTACGGTTGAACCACTGATGTCACATGGAATGTTTTACCGATATTCTTCCTACGTTTCTTGGTTTGGGAACATTTCGGTTACATTGCTGTCTATGCAGGATCAGAAAGCTCACGGATTTCATCAAACACTTAATTTGTGTTCCGAAGATGAATGAAGATCTTACGGGTTTGGAATGACATGAGGGCAAGTAATTAATGACAGAATTTAAATTTTTGGGTGAACTATCCCTTTAAAGTCTAAATAACTTCAGTGTGGTATATTATATATGTACAACTTCCTATTTTGCATGTGCAAGGTTCATTTCCTATTTATGAGGAACTTTATATAAATTAGGCCTAAAACCACAAATTTTGCTAGATGTTAGAATCTAACCAAAACAACATGCTCATTGTTGATTAGTACTATTATGGTTTGGTGGCTGTTTAAAAGCTAAATTGCATGGTAAACTTTATGAACTTTCATAAAGTCACAAAAGATTGCTTTCATTTTGCTACTGTCTCATAACAAAACCAGCAAGTAATACAATTAGACACAATTTGTAAATGAGCCATATTATGTCCAATAAATGTTTTAGGATGTTCTTTCTCTTCAGATATAAATTAGGGAATGAGATGGGGATGGTCACCACTTAAGCTAATGTTGTCAACTTTGAGCCGAATGGTGACTGCAGCTAGTTTAATAAACTCATTATATCGTAGTTTACACCAGGTCCCTGTAAAACTTCCAATGATTGAATATACTACCTTTCAAAAGTTCGGGGTCTGTTTGATTTCGTTGAAAGAAATTAATATTTTTATTCAGACAGGATGCATTCAATTTCTTGAGCAGCAAATCACATTAGAATGATTTCTGAAGGATCATGTGACACTGAAGACTGGTGAAGATCTTACGGGTTTGGAATGACATGAGGGCAAGTAATTAATGACAGAATTTAAATTTTTGGGTGAACTATCCCTTTAAAGTCTAAATAACTTCAGTGTGGTATATTATATATGTACAACTTCCTATTTTGCATGTGCAAGGTTCATTTCCTATTTATGAGGAACTTTATATAAATTAGGCCTAAAACCACAAATTTTGCTAGATGTTAGAATCTAACCAAAACAACATGCTCATTGTTGATTAGTACTATTATGGTTTGGTGGCTGTTTAAAAGCTAAATTGCATGGTAAACTTTATGAACTTTCATAAAGTCACAAAAGATTGCTTTCATTTTGCTACTGTCTCATAACAAAACCAGCAAGTAATACAATTAGACACAATTTGTAAATGAGCCATATTATGTCCAATAAATGTTTTAGGATGTTCTTTCTCTTCAGATATAAATTAGGGAATGAGATGGGGATGGTCACCACTTAAGCTAATGTTGTCAACTTTGAGCCGAATGGTGACTGCAGCTGGTTTAATAAACTCATTATATCGTAGTTTACACCAGGTCCCTGTAAAACTTCCAATGATTGAATATACTACCTTTCAAAAGTTCGGGGTCTGTTTGATTTCGTTGAAAGAAATTAATATTTTTATTCAGACAGGATGCATTCAATTTCTTGAGCAGCAAATCACATTAGAATGATTTCTGGAGGATCATGTGACACTGAAGACTGGAGTAATGATGCTGAAAATTCAGCTTTAGCATCACAGGAATAAATTACTTTTTAAAATATATTCAAATAGAAAACAGTTAGTTTAACTTGTAAAATATTTCAAAATATTACTGTATTTATAACTAAATAAATGCAGCCTTGGTGAGCAGAAGAGACCTCCTGACCCCAAACAGTAGAATTAGTAAGAGAGGACAACATAATTAGACACTTGTTTACCACTTGATGTGCCCTTTTGGCGAGCAGCACTGGTTCACAGAGGACCACAGGGCCTGTGACATAATGAACAGATTCATTGCCTGATTCACATTCTTGTCAGATATGTCGTCCACTTCAACTAATGTCTGGAGAAAGCAGCGCTGTCCTTTCAGCCTCAGAGGAGAACATCATTTTGACATTTTCTGAGGTACTCGACAGATGGTGTGACTTGAGGGAGTCCATCACTACATTAAAGTCGTTGTTGATGTGTGGTTCACCATCGAGGCCTGTGGAGAAGCTTAGGTCTAAAGCAGCATTGCATAAGACGACTCTGATTGTCAGGATGTTGCATGACGAGGATTGACACTCTAATAACTAATCATCATTTTGGTTGTAACTTGCATTTGATCTTAGCACAGCTGCACCATTTATGTTGAGTCATCATAAGATCTATATACTCTTTTACTCAATATGTACATAGATTTTTTTTGACAATATATATAGCCTAAATAATAATATTTAATCATATAGTTTAATAGAACAATGTAATAGCAAATACTATGCACACAAAATTAGGGCTATATCAGTTATGGTAAATGGTTATTGGATTTTATTATAGTCTTTTTTTTTTTAATTATCAGGTTGATATTATATATTTAATTGTGCATTTTCTGTGTGTTACCTTTGTTGTCGTCTAATTTAAAATACATTTTTTTAGAACACTAATAATTTCACTTAATGTAATATTTAGCAAGTCTCAAAATGAGCATTTTTCATATTGTACATTAAAATGTTGTGATGCATAAATTCACTTGTAGATTTTTATTTTTTTATTTTTATTATATTTATTCAAAATAGTGTGGAAATGGACTATCATTATAGGCTTATTAGATTTATAGACTTTATAAACTATCATTATAGGCTAATATTGATGTATCCATCACAAAATTTCATAATTGTACAGTTATTTTATTTTTACGTTATATTTGCTAAATTCACTAAAAAACAGTGTAATGTATATACAGTATGTGTATATGTAATGTATATATGATAATGTGTGATTATTCGTCACCCTTACCTGTTGACATAAATCACACTGTGCATTCAAAGTATTTTGTTTAACTAAATCAAGCTTTGCATTTGCGTATGCGTATAAATGTATTACAGTCTCCTGTACAGCTTTTCGATTTTTGGTTGTTTTTCTAAAAACAAAATTTTTGATGCTAACACAGCTAGCATGCTTCTGCTTCAACGCTTCACTAACTCTTGCCCTTTCTTTCTCTCTCTCTTATTCCTCCCTTCCTCTCCATGTCCAAAAGTTAAGACATGAAACGCCGGACGTCATCACAGAACTCTGGCGTTGGAGGCAGTCCAAGGTCAGTCCATTAGTCCCTGTAGAGCTCTGAACGACCTCTCTGCTATCATAGTCACGCACTGGGTAAATGATAAGAAGATGCTTTTTAGTCAGAAGAGGCTCTTGGGAACGAGGTCAGTGGTTTTAAGCAAGAGCTCACATAAAATGTAAATTCTGTCATCATTTACTCATCCTCATGTCATCCCAAACAAGTATGACTTTCTTTAATCCTTGTAAGGCAAAAGAAGATGCGTTGCGTCCAGGCTGCGTTTGCTTTTCTGGTGATCCATGCTGTTGAGCTCCAAAAATGGAGTCATGAAAGTATTATAGAAGTAGTAAATGGTAAAAGCATATTGCAAGTTTTCAGAAGTAAAACTAGTGTAATATAAGGAGCAACTTGAAATGAAAGTCATTATATGCTAAAAATCTACTTTCAGAATCACTTTCAAACCAAGCAGCTTTCTGTTGTGTAATGCAAGAATCTGACCGTATTGAACCTTTTGCGAAATCTGCTTAGGGAAATTATCATCATCACTCTTGCATGATTTTCCTAATCTTGTGGATTCCTATTGAAATGACTGGATTTGCGTGGGAAAATTCACCAAACAGCAGTAAATCTGACCCCACCTTATATGATGACAGAATGTTCAAAATGAGCATGCTTACAGTATTTAAAGCTGAAGTGTGTAGCACCACCAAACATAAATGCAAAATGATTGGCTGTGTCTGATATCGAATGCTTCCCTACTATACAGTATGCAAAAAACAGTAGGGATGTAATGATTCACTGAACTCACGGTGCGATACGATTCATGATACTGATTTCATGACACGATTTTCTCACTTTTTTTTCTTTAACAAAATGAGATTTAAGAAAAATTATAAATGAAAAGGTGTCCTTTTATATTGCTTGGACAAAATGCTGCAAATTTCCTTGTGAGATTGAAAATAAAATAACAAAACTAAATTGGAATTTGGAAACAAACCTCAAATCAAATAATGAAATATTACAAATTAAAGAAAGCTCTGCATATAAACAAACTAAGACTTTGCCTGTGCTCTTTCCTTTTAAAATTAGAGGCCACCACTGTATTTTAATCACAATCTTAACAAATATGCTGCATTCATGTTATTTTGATTGATTATAATTTCGAAATTTGAAGCATTTGAAACTATGCCACATAAAACATCTGAATGAAACAAAAACAGCAGACGGGCTGAATGAGACGCAAACTTACTCTCTGACAGCAGGTGGCGCTTATGGAACAGCAGAGATGCAGCGTTTCCTTGGTTACCGCTGTAAACAAAGCAGAGCTGCTTATGAACACTACTTTAATATGCATTATACAGAGGCAAGATTAAAAGAAAATACCATCTAAACTTTTCTGAAGACAGTGTTCACCTCAAGAGATACATTCATATAAACATTTAACATCTCAACCGTTTTGAATCGTCACATATTTGTATCGATTTTCAGCCGGCTCGGGGTGCATCGTTACATCCATAAAAAATAGCATGCCAAAAAAGTTTTACCGTATGTCCAGATTCATAGTATTAGATCAGTGATCTTCACTATTTTTTTCACGAGAGCCGCACTTATAGGACAAAGTTAATAGGAGAGCCACTTTTACTGCAAAGTATGAAAAGTTACATCCAGTCATAAATAGCATGTCTGCTTCTCAATCTGTCATCCCTGAAATTATTTACTGCCATCTGCCATGCGAGCCACACATTAAAGATTGGCGAGCCGCATAATGAGTAACACTGTATTAGATAAACAGTAGGCGAAAACCTCATACTTCAACTGGGATTATGAAGTGACACTTTATTATCCCATGAGGCCACAGGAAAGGATTTATGAATGGCAGTGAAGCGACGCAACTGATCCTGGTAGGTCTCGTAATAGAAAAAACATGGCGGACATAGTACATCCGAATTTCATTCATACTATATAGAACATACTTTTTTAATGGTCACAAAGTAAGTTCATCTAAGATTTTGTTGCTCTTTTGAAATATTTTATTTAAATGTGAGTGTGCAAGTCTGCAAGCAGTTTTTGAGATTCCAAGTTTATTTGCATTTATTGTTGCACACAATAAGAACATGAACTCGAAATTACACTTACATAAATCAATAATTACTGCCAAGAATAGAGTCCAAGAAAAATAAAATATAGAAATACTATAAACTTATATAGAAAATAATTATCTGGTTCCCTGCTGTACACAAAACCATGCATGTCAACAAAGAAGCATTTAATGATGGCTATCTTAACTTAATTGAACAAACACAAAATACCATCTTGAAGTAAACAGAGTGCTGCTTTTAGGTGTAATATAGGCTATAAAACCTTGCCTGCAAAAAATCCTTAGCAACCATAGATCTTTTTCAGCTAGTAAAAGATTCAATTGCCCTTGCAAGTCATTTGCTAATATATAGCATATCCTAATTCTACTTCAACATATATGTTCTTGAAGCCTTGCCCTAGGTAGGAGCTTATGAAAAAAGAAATAATGGGTAGGAAAAAATAGAAATTAAATATTAAATGCTAAATATGCAGTCAGTGCAAAAAAAAAAAAACCTTCAGCTCTCTAAGACGTGTGTAATAACGTGGTGCTTAGAGGTGTAGTAGGGCTGCTTTTATTTTCATGTTGACATGTTGCTGTTCAGAAACAGCAAAGCATTTACACTAGCAGTGCTGAGGCAGGTCCGACGATTCTCCAATGTGCGACCAGAGATGCTGAAGGCCGACTCACAACTCACACTGGCTGCAGGTACACAAAGTATTTTTCTTGCCAGTCGTGCCATTGATGGAAACATATTTTGGTTGTGTTTCCAAAAACCAAGGATGTCTCGATCATTTTCCATTGTGGGCTTGTGCTTCAAATATTGTTCTAGTTCATCGAGCCCTGTGTCCAGTTCAGCATCCTCAATATCAGCCCACTGGCTAAAGAGCGGCACTGGTCCTGGTGGTGGTGGTACTGGCCCAGCAATCTCCTTATCTTTCTCTTGCGTCTGCTGGGCATTCACCTCAGTTGTAGCATTTTTAGGGAAGCTGGCCAACTCTCTTCGTGCACCTTGATATATTTCCTCCCTCTCTTCTGTGGTGAACATCCGAAGCTGCTTGAATTTTGGCCAGAGCAGAACGGCAAGCTTTTCGTGGTGTCCCAAAACTGTCCGTTCAGTCAAAAGTGTCATGCACCTAATAAATAGAATACAATATAATATAATCAGTTGAATAATGCATTAAACAACACTTAATAGGTCTAACTTTAGCAAACAGTGAATAAATTAAATGAATAATAATAATAAATAATAATAACTTTTTATATAGCACAGTTACAAATACAGGCAATGTGTTAGAAATTAGAAGAGTAATTAGACTACATCTCGCCTGTGTTTCAGTATCCTGAGCGGCACTGGCAATGGCAATGGGCCATCAGCGTGGTTTTCCAGAGGGCCACTAAGTTGATTGAACAATACTTTGAGCCACTGAGCTCTTCAGTTGCCTGCTTAAAAGGCTGCAGGAATTGGACAAGCATCTGAAGAATGTCTTTGGATATGTGACTCATGCGATGCATCTCTCCTTGTTCAAGCAGAATGGACTGAATGTCTTCAAATGCATTAAGCACAGATTTGACCATCTCCAGTTTAGTATTCCATCTTGTTTCACATTCTTGTTTCAAAGATAGCTTGAGTCAAAGTTGTAATCCAGAGTGTTTAAAAAATGTGGTCAGGGTCTTGCATTGCTCTATGCAGCTTCTTACTTGTTGCAGTTCTTCCTCATCTCCATCATCCTCGTCATCACCTTCCTTAGACTTCTTGAAGGTGTGCTTCAGCACTGTATTCAGTACGTGTGCTATACAGCTTTTGTGCACCCATCGGGAGAGCGCTGCCTGCACATTTGCACCTTGGTCACTGACAAACACCAGTCTGTCTATCTCATCTGGGGTCAGACCAAATTCACCCAGTTGCTTGAGCAGTTCTGTCTTCAGTTTTAAGGCCGTTTTCTTTTTTCTCACATCACTCATGAAGGTATCCATTATCACCGTGCGTGTGCATTAACTCCGCCCACCCTGCTTCTGATCCAAAAACTAAGGATGTCGCTAACATTTTCCATTGTGGGCTTGTGCTTCAAATATTGTTCTAGTTCATCGAGCCCTGTGTCCAGTTCAGTATCCTCGATATCAGCCCACTGGCTAAAGAGCGGCACTGGTCCTGGTGGTACTGGCCCAGCAATCTCCTTATCTTTCTCTTGCGTCTGCTGGGCATTCACCTCAGTTGTAGCATTTTTAGGGAAGCTGGCCAACTCTCTTCGTGCACCTTGATATATTTCCTCCCTCTCTTCTGTGGTGAACATCCGAAGCTGCTTGAATTTTGGCCAGAGCCGAACGGCAAGCTTTTCGTGGTGTCCCAAAACTATCCGTTCAGCCAAAAGTATCATGCACCTAATAAATAGAATACAATATAATATAATCAGTTGAATAATGCATTAAACAACACTTAATAGGTCTAACTTTAGCAAACAGTGAATAAATTAAATGAATAATAATAATAAATAATAATAACTTTTTATATAGCACAGTTACAAATACAGGCAATGTGTTAGAAATTAGAAGAGTAATTAGACTACATCTCGCCTGTGTTTCAGTATCCTGAGCGGCACTGGCAATGGCAATGGGCCATCAGCGTGGTTTTCCAGAGGGCCACTAAGTTGATTGTACAATACTTTGAGCCACTGAGCTCTTCAGTTGCCTGCTTAAAAGGCTGCAGGAATTGGACAAGCATCTGAAGAATGTCTTTGGATATGTGACTCATGCGATGCATCTCTCCTTGTTCAAGCAGAATGGACTGAATGTCTTCAAATGCATTAAGCACAGATTTGACCATCTCCAGTTTAGTATTCCATCTTGTTTCACATTCTTGTTTCAAAGATAGCTTGAGTCAAAGTTGTAATCCAGAGGTGTTTAAAAAATGTGGTCAGGGTCTTGCATTGCTCTATGCAGCTTCTTACTTGTTGCA